AGATGTGTGAATTGTGCATTGAAATCAACCATTGATGTAGAGTTTTTCTGAGCAACATTGCTTTATCCTAACAGTAAAACGCCATTTACTATAGAATCACAAAGCTAAATGATCGCTGGCAGCTACGATGCCATGTTGAAAATTAAATCCGTGATGGGGAGGGGAGAGAGGGGGGTAGGGATGTCGAGAATGTGGTGGTGGTGGCGGTGAGGCTTCAGTGAAGGAGTACGACCACGTCGCTGGGAGTGTATCGACTCGTCTTTGTCTACGTGCAGAGATCAATGGCGTTAGCCGTACACAACAGCTGGTGTACGCCTTAGGTGGTTTGAAAAGGGGGAAAAAAAAAGCTAAAACTAATACAAAATACACGGTGATTTGTGGGTTAGCCGTACCTATGGCGATATCACCAACTGAGACGGTAAAGTACGAACACTAGCCCTAAAACAAATACTGTATAAAGGGATTATCATATATATATAAATCTAACCCAACTGTAAAAATGCGACTATTATATATACCTGGGGTGTATACGTAGGACATTTTACTTATGGACCAATCACATTGAAACAAAGAGAGATTATTCCTAAACAAAAACAATAGGCATTTGATGGAATGATCAAACATGCCACCAAAACTCACACCAGTAAGGCCTATACTTATAGACGGTTGGGTTAATTAATCGATGAGTTAAGAGTATACACTTGTCACAGGATAATTAATTTAGCCCACGTGCAGTAAAACGATACGCCTATACTGATAGCATGAATGTAATACTAGGAGAAGTCAATACGCCCATGATCAGCGCCAATACTACAGTCGTATACTACGTTGGCCGGAGAGCCATTCACCCTGTAACCCAGATGGTACACGCCTCTAGTAAAACTAATCACCCTTTAACCTAGAAGGTATACACCTATGATAGAAATAAATAGCACCAGATAATATAATTACGACACGCGGGTAAAGCCATTAGCTTGTTACTAAAAATAGAATTCATTATTTCCCAGCAAGTGAAACGAGACTCGTCATGCCAGACCAGGTTTCACCAAGCCGTCGGGCAGTCGGGCTATATCGTGGTAGTTTAATCCCGTCGGGCTATATCGTGGTAGTTTAATCCCGTCGGGCAGTCGGGCTGTATCGTGGTAGTTTAATCCCGTCGGGCAGTCGGGCTATATCGTGGTAGTTTAATCCCGTCGGGCAGTCGGGCTATATCGTGGTAGTTTAATCCCGTCGGGCAGTCGGGCTATATCGTGGTAGTTTAATCCCGTCGGGCAGTCGGGCTATATCGTGGTAGTTTAATCCCGTCGGGCAGTCGGGCTATATCGTGGTAGTTTAATCCCGTCGGGTAGTCGGGCTTTGGTAGTTTAATCCCGTCGGGCAGTCGGGCTATATCGTGGTAGTTTAATCCCGTCGGGTAGTCGGGCTTTGGTAGTTTAATCCCGTCGGGCAGTCGGGCTATATCGTGGTAGTTTAATCCCGTCGGGCTGTATCGTGGTAGTTTAATCCCGTCGGGCTATATCGTGGTAGTTTAATCCCGTCGGGTAGTCGGGCTTTGGTAGTTTAATCCCGTCGGGCAGTCGGGCTATATCGTGGTAGTTTAATCCCGTCGGGCTGTATCGTGGTAGTTTAATCCCGTCGGGCTGTATCGTGGTAGTTTAATCCCGTCGGGCTGTATCGTGGTAGTTTAATCCCGTCGGGCTGTATCGTGGTAGTTTAATCCCGTCGGGCTGTATCGTGGTAGTTTAATCCCGTCGGGCAGTCGGGCTGTATCGTGGTAGTTTAATCCCGTCGGGCAGTCGGGCTATATCGTGGTAGTTTAATCCCGTCGGGCAGTCGGGCTATATCGTGGTAGTTTAATCCCGTCAGGGAGGGAGCCAAGTCTGAGCAAACACAAACCAAGCATGGCATCAGTATATCTTCACTACGGAGCTTAAGTTAAATTTAGATAGTAGCAGCCACCCCCCCCCCCCAACATCTGCATGAAACGAAAGCAAGTTTTATCACTTTATATATATATATATATATATATATATATATATATATATATATATATATATATATATATATATATATATATCTACATCTACAAACCACTAAAACATAGGGCCTTTAGCGGCTGCCCTGTAAGCCCCGCCCCCTTAAATTCACTCATGCCAACACTGATGGATACTGTGGGTATTCGTGTGTCAGATTTAGACATAAACATAGTTACACATATTTCCCAAGACGCACACGCTTCAATGGTCACAAGCGTACTGCCACTTGGATCACAAAGATCATAGTTACATAGATCCCACCACTTGAACCATGAGGATCTTTGTCAGAGATTCTTTCACATAAATCACAAAAGATAGCAGTAACAAAAATACAGCGACATGATTAACGTAAATTTACTAAGAGTAGTATCACGTTGATATATCCAAACAACTGAATCACAAATAACCTAATACTTAAAAGATCACAAAGATCTTCATACTTGTAAAAATCACAAAAAAACTCAACCCGTACAAAACGAATGATAACTAATCACTGTAGTACATTCATTCATTGACAGGCAACAGTTCTCCACCCTCACATACCCCCCCCCCCCCCCCACCACCGCCCTCGACACGGATGTAAAAATCGGTTGACTTGCATGCAGCACGCATGAGTGACGCGCCCCGAGTCACCGCGCCTGAGATTTCTCTTAAGGTCACCAACGGGGGACACACGGCTGTCGTCAATCGTCTGAAAGTCACGTGTCACCCGTGTCGTGGATGTCTTGAAGGTCAGGCGAGTGTGTGTTGATATAGATTTGTGTTCGATGGATATAACCCAACCTCTCGGCTTTGTCTTTTGAAGCATTGTTTTTGTGAAGGATTTCTTATTGATTTCATTGAAGGACATAGTTTTCTTCGTTAAGGCGCTATATTTGTTTAACTAATTAATTTTGTATGATGTAGACATTCCTTATTTATTTACTGAACCTAAGAATGTTATAGTATAAAAATACATTATTTATTCAAAGATATTTATTTAGATAAGAATTTTAAAAAGCTGAATTGCAAAGACTTATTTGTTTACTCAGAAAATCTAGTACTGTGTGTGTGTGCGCGTGTGAGAGTTTGGAAGGGGAGGATTGTAAGAAGCTAACCCTCCCCCTTCCCCTCCCCCACCCGGGGGGGGGGATTATCCTGGGAGACTATGGAGAAAATTGCCAGAGACCGACGTAAATGGAAAAAGCTTTCTGTGATATGTAAACCAATAACGTAACCAAAAACACTAACCCTACACATAATAAGTCGCGTAAAAAAAAAAAGAAACGACAATCCATGAAATATTTATATAGATATTGCTTGATGCCCTGGATATAGAAATAAAGAAGCCTAACGATTCCACTAACCTAATGATATTTCTACAAACGTTTTTCTCTGAAAACAGTTGTAAATATTATAACTAACAATTCATCAAAGTAACCATTTGTTTCGCTACAAATATTGCTATTCTCGTGTAGACACGTCTCTAATCAAACAATTGAACAAACGTAAAAAAATGTGTTTGGTCTACCAAGTAACAGAGTTATACACAATAATACCACCAGAAGACAAAGGAAAACAGGTGACACAGCACTACCACCAACAAACCAACACAGAGGTGACACACAGCACTACCACCACCAGACCAACAGAGAGGTGATACACAGCACTACCACCACCAGACCAACAGAGAGGTGATACACAGCACTACCACCACCAGACCAACAGAGAGGTGACACACAGCACTACCACCAGCGTACTAACGTGACTGCCTTCAGCAGACAATACAAAACGAGAGAATCGATATTCATAACGACACGGGGAACCCCCCCCCCCCCCCCAACCCCCTCCACTCACTCACACACACACATAACCACGTGACTTAAGGAGCACGAGAGAATGGTTCATTCATCCCTCAACACATCCTATCCATTTCTCAATCAAACCAGAGACGCGGGCTTTTTTTGTTCTTCTGGCGTAGTGGCGGGGACAAAGGCGGCCGTTGAAAGGGGGTGACACACGGGTCCAATCGGATCAAGAGACAAAGATGCTCAGGCAAACATAGCACACCGCTCGCACATCGGTGGTTGTGAGGGGTTGAGATTATTGTTTCACCTGCCTGATAGCCCCGCACCGGGAACGAAAAACGAAAAAAAAAAATGAAAAAAAACCCAACTTTGTTTTAAACATCCTTGATTATTACAGACAATCCAGAATAAAAATAATAAAAAAAATTATTTAAGGAAAACAGAATTTTAAAAAAAAAACATGCCTCATAGAGACGTTGGCTGATTTGTAGGATGATAACTGTCCTGTGAATTCACCTGTTGGGTGAATACAACGGCTCCATTGTGACTTGTAGTGCCGGGCTCGGTACGATATATTTTATTCTATCCTAGTCTAAGGATACTGGTGTGGGGGTGTAGGGAGCATCAAAAGTAAGCAATACATGATAAATGGTCCTACCATGAGGGTGTGTGTGCAGGATCGAATCCAATCAAGACACAATACAAGGTCCCATCACCACAGCAGTACCTTCCAAAACAGCTAAGACAATACACTAACCAGATCATATAAACAAGAAACACGGTCGAAACCACCCTATGTGCTTAGCGTCTAACACATACGAAATTAAACAAGGCACTAGACTACATTTTCTTAGATATGTGAACAGAATCGAAACCAATTAAGACATGAACCTTGACCTTACCACACGGGAAGTAATACAACAAAACACTGTCACTCATGTATAATTAATAATTAATTAATTATAGATCGCGTTACACATCGGGGGGCAATGACCGTAAAACCACCGGCTTATCTCAATTCAGATTATCCATAAACCACACGAAATGTCCATGTCATAGCACGTCCGTAGCACACTAAATCACATTCGAACGCTTAATAATAATAAAATAAAATAAAAGGTAAACTGCCTCGAAGCAGACACAAATAGTTACTCGATTTTACTCCAAGCAAACTTACTTCAGCCTGAATAACAGTTAAAAAAAAAAGAAATCGAGAAATCCCCCACTTGACTAAAACACACAGCCGACAGCATGCGATCTTTACTGCTCATATCCTCCTATACTAGTCCGATTCCCAATCACACTTCGGCAATAAGGAATGGAAAAAGGGAGGGAAAAAAAATCTAGCGTAGCCTCCCCTTGCGTTGCTCACCGTTACGTCGTCCGATGCGGCGCGCGGGGCAGACGACATTAAACTCACGCGCGGGGTTGTGGAAGGAAGGAAGAAAGAAAAAAAAAACCCCGCGAATCTCAAATCTGCCCGACCCAGAAGCCGACTGGAGTAATCTATCATCTTTAGATGTGACGTATGCACAAAGATCGTGTTCAGTGACGTCACGAGTGCGTCTTGCACGGTATTAATGAGTAATTATACGGGGGTAGTAATAAGCTTTGATTAGACAGGATCGCTGTGAAATATCTTGATTAGGTGCACCGGCTAATGAAATTGTTCATTACAAGGTAAAACGACCCGCGCGCTAATGCAATTGCCCATACACGTTTAATCAATCAATCGTCAAATTTAATTGTCCATCACATTATTAAACACTAAATGTCCATGACATATAATTAATTTTTATCAATGACTCAACACTAGTAGTACAACATTGCATTGAAATCTTTAATAAATAGACGACAGCTTCCAAACTAAAGCACTATTGGTCGACCGTAAAATTTAAATTTAATTAATTAATTGATTTTCTTGTACTGTCGATGATATAAAACTGGTATAGCGACATTCGCTTGTTTTATACTGCTAGTGACTAACCAACAACACATAGGTCGCCATCGATGATGCGATTCCTGATCAGCGGGCGGCGGAGGAAAGGGCGGAGGTAGAAAGGGCGGCTGGTCGACGATTCCATTAATACTTCAGCACATTAAAAAGGCTGTAATTAATATTGATTAAACAATTTATACGCACGGTTTTTGTCTCAGTTATATTTGGAAGAAAAATATTCCAGACAGGTCTATTCATTATCAACAAGCGCTGGTTGCCATGACAACCACCACAATGAACCACGCGAATGAATAACGTGAAAAAAAAATGTTAGTTTTAATCTTTTGTTAGAAATATTCCAGAGTTTGAAAAAGAAAAAAAACAAACGCTGTTGGTTGATAAAGAGACAAAAATAAACGCAAACAAGATTAACATTGTAAACATAAAAAAATGGCGTTTTGTAACGGTGTTGAAGGCAGAATCTAGACGTGTGTAAAAGCTACAGAAGCTGTAGCTTAATATTAAATATACAGCCATTAATATGATTATGGTTATAAATAAACTTGGAGTGTCCAGAACACAGGACCCAGCAGCCTAAGGGTGTAGTGATGGAGACGTTAGGATTGGATTACACTTGAGACATTACAGCTAGCTTAGTTTATTGGCAAATATGGTGGACAGCAGTAAAAAATAAAAAAATTAAATAAAAACCAACGGAACAACGATAATACAAGTATAATGTCAGGATATCTGTTCTGATGGTAATGGTAGAAACAAGAGTAATTAAAGATTCCTCTTTAGACATAGTTACCCATTGGGCAGGTGAAGTAGAGTTCATCTTTAGACCTAGCGATCCATTGGTCAGATGAAGTAGAGTTAGTGTTTCTTGACCTCGGCATATGGAGGGATAATATGGTCAGCACGATGCCCAGGCGCTTTTACTTTCCCTAACGTGCGTGAGGTACCAACCAGAGCTGAGTGGACGTTCCACTGACTTGAACCCGGATTCGACCTCGAGACTTTCGGGTCAGCAGCCTTGCCCTCTACCGCTAGACCATGCCGTCCCAACTAAGTCGTTATTTCTCCCGAAGTGTTCACCACATTTACAAATGATTCTTTATTAGATTAAATTAAGGTAGAATTTTAAAAAATATATATTTCTTAACTAGGAACAGGTGTTTAAAGAAATCAAACTGGTACAAAATGGCATCTCTAGACAAGGTATCTGGGGGAATGTGAAACCACCGAATAAGGTAAAAATGTCTTGAGGGGGATTTAAGGTGGTGTGAAAAGGACAGAAAACAAGGCGTTATGATCTTCAAGGACAGAGACAAAGAGCGTGTGATCTTTAAAGATAGAGAAGGCGGTATGACCTAAAGTACAGAGAAACCCGTGTGATCTTTAAAGATAGAGAAGGCGGTATGACCTAAAGTACAGAGAAAACCGTGTGATCTTTAAAGATAGAGAAGGCGGTATGACCTAAAGTACAGAGAAAACCGTGTGATCTTTAAAGATAGAGAAGGCGGCATGACCTAAAGTACAGAGAAAACCGTGTGAGCTTTAAAGATAGAGAAGGCGGCATGACCTAAAGTACAGAGAAAACCGTGTGATCTTTAAAGATAGAGAAGGCGGCATGACCTAAAGTACAGAGAAAACCGTGTGAGCTTTAAAGATAGAGAAGGCGGCATGACCTAAAGTACAGAGAAAACCGTGTGAGCTTTAAAGATAGAGAAGGCGGCATGACCTAAAGTACAGAGAAAACCGTGTGAGCTTTAAAGATAGAGAAGGCGGCATGACCTAATGTACAGAGAAAACCGTGTGAGTTTTAAAGATAGAGAAGGCGGCATGACCTAAAGTACAGAGAAAACCGATGATCTTTAAAGATAGAGAAGGCGGCATGACCTAAAGTACAGAGAAAACCGATGATCTTTAAAGATAGAGAAGGCGGCATGACCTAAAGTACAGAGAAAACCGTGTGATCTTTAAAGATAGAGAAGGCGATATGACCTAAAGTACAGAGAAAACCGATGATCTTTAAAGATAGAGAAGGCGGCATGACCTAAAGTACAGAGAAAACCGATGATCTTTAAAGATAGAGAAGGCGGCATGACCTAAAGTACAGAGAAAACCGATGATCTTTAAAGATAGAGAAGGCGGCATGACCTAAAGTACAGAGAAAACCGATGATCTTTAAAGATAGAGAAGGCGGCATGACCTAAAGTACAGAGAAAACCGATGATCTTTAAAGATAGAGAAGGCGGTATGACCTAAAGTACAGAGAAAACCGTGTGAGCTACCAGTAGAGAGATTAAGACGGTCCGGTCCCCAATGACAGGGCAGACGGTATGGGCTTTGAACGTTAGGAGGCGTGTGGGGGAAAAGTACATGGGTTGCTCAGATGATGTGTGGTTGATTACAAGACAACGTTTGTAAAGAGCTGTCTGTAGGATATCTGGATATCTGACGTAAATTAGATGTTTAGTTTTTAAAAGTTGAAGTTAGAGATAGTAGTAGTTGAGTTCCCTTTGAAGCCTAACGGACATGGGCGAAGTGAAAATGGTGTTCACCTGTTTCTTGGACCTCGGTATATGAAGGAGAAGTGGGGTCAGCACTATGTCTAGCCGCCGAGAAAGATACCCGTCAGAGATGGGTGGACTAGGGATTGTTATAATGAACCCGGATTCGAACTCGAGACTTCCGGTTTAGCAGTAGTATACTCTACCATTCAACCACAGCGTCCCAAACAGTCAGAGGTGGAAGGGCTCAAAACGCAATACGAATTTGATACTTTAAGGTTACCACGTATTATTGATCATCAGCATCGCCTCATTTGGTGTAAGTATATAACAACACCAATCATACTCTCTAATCAAGGTTTCTAACAATACAAAGGTTACATCAATAAACACACAAAAGGAATTAGCCAATGCACAGACTTGAAATAAGAAAACCTGTGTGATTTCAAAGAATGGATGTACACATCCTTCAGCTTTTAACGCTACAAAACTTTCGGGTCAATATTTGAAATCCGGGAACAAACAATCTCCCCCTGGGGTGTGGGACAAACAATTTATCCCCGGGGGTGCGGGCCAAATTGAAAAGAAAGCAATTGCCGCGGCGTCGTGGCGAGTTTTTGTTTTCTTCGGGTTTACATTTTGACATGCAATTTCAAAGACTTGGAGCCGTGTCTAAAAATACAACAGCCTTTAAACTTGGATGCAGGGATACAAACACGCAATGCTTAAAAGACTTTTAGCCGTCTAAAATACAACGACCTCATAACCTCGAGGCAGTGTTAAAAACACATATTGCTCAAAGGTTTGAGCCGTGTTTGAAAATAAAATACAACGGCATTATAACCGAGGTGAAAGGATAAAAACATATGATGCTCAAATACTTTGGGGGCCGTGCTTAGAATACATAACGTTAAATTTCTTCTTTTCTTCTTTTTCGTTCTTAATTTTTAGTGTTGGAAGGAATCGAGCCTTATCTGCCAGGGGTTTGAACTCGAGACTTTTTTCGAATTTATCATGTTGAATTACAGCAAGACAGCTAAAATAGAATTTAGTAAGATTTCTTCAAAGTTCAAAACTAGGATAACCCTAACCCTAACTAACCACTAAAATCGGACAGACCCTTAAGAATAGTGAAAAAAAACCAGCTAAATAATACCATTCCGCCTGTTAGCTTAGCGCTTGTATCTACGCATTACAGTTTTAGCTCAAACTCCGCAGGAAACAAAATGGCTGGGGTGAGCAGTTAGGTAGAAAAAAAAACAACGGTTCCAACGACCTAATTTACGACATGACGTCACACTTTTTTTTCTCTCTTTCATCAACACTGGCGATTTCCTGAAACCCCCGAAATTCCCGATATGGGTGTGTGGGGGGGGGGGGGGTCACAAAAAATGAAATGAAGAAAGTTTAAAAGCGAGCCGAGGAGAAGAAAAAATAATGGAAATGGAGTGAGAAAAGAATGGGGGGGCGTTAACGCAAATAATAATTGAATTTTAAATCTACTCGGGACAGCTTAACACGTCCAGATAAATTTGTGTCAGGTTGATTTTTTTCTTCTATTCTTGGCGACACGGCTAAAATCTGTGAGCTATGGGTGGTATGAGTGAGGTGGGATGGAAAGGGGGGGGGGGGGGGTTGGGGGAAGAAGATAGGGAAAAAAGAAAATAAAATACTTAAAAAAAACTTTAAAAAAAACCACGTTTTTCTTGTGGACTAAAAAGTAGAAAATAAATTTTTCTTTTGTGCTTCCTCGAGCTGTGCAGGTTCTTGTGATGACTGACAAAAAACGTGGGTACGTTCACCATCAAATTTCCCGACCCATCTGCCCGACCCACG